CCCCAAAACCCCAAAACCCCAAAACCCCAAAACCCCAAAACCCCAGGTGGCCGGAAAGAAGTTGAAAAATATAATAATTTCTAATAATGGTGCAAACAGCCATGATCGGAGTAGGAGTGAATACTCTAGGAGGTTTCTCAACAGCTGTAGGATGGTGATTACAGAAAGAAGGACATAATAAGTCAGAGATAGGGAGTTCGACGGTTTATAAGAGCTTACATTGGTGGATTGGGTTGGTTATGGTGATCATTTCGCAACCTCTTTATATTGTGTCCCAAACTCTAGCCAACCAATCTACTCTTGGAATAGTGGGCCCGACAAGTATCATTGTTCATGTCTTATTTGCAAGGTTCTATCTGCATGAAATCCTTAGTTGGTGAGAAATTGCTGGAATTCTATTGTTCGTTCCAGGGACAATTATCACACTTATCTTTGCTTCCAAACATAATGACCTATTAGATAAAGATGAATTCAAAGAGAAATTTTGGGCTCCTATGTCACAAATTTATCTTTGGGGAAATGTTGTGGGATGTTTTATTTTGTATTTCTTATCATACAAAATCATAAAGGCAACCACTCCAATTAAGAAAGACGAGGCTCAGGATCAGGATACTGATTCAACGACAAACAAAGAAAACATAATGGAAGACTTTGAGGCATATTCTAACTTTACACCAAAACAAACAGAGAGTTTGATAAGAAGAAGACAGATGAAGTCCAGAGCTTCTCAAGAATCAGAGCTAGTTGCAGAGAATTCTGACGATGAATTGATGTCAGATGATTCTGACGACTCTAGGTCTTTCATTGGTCTGAAAACTAACACAAACATGAGGGAGCCTTGTACTATTATTCAAGAAGATAATAAATCTTGGTTCTCAGATCCAAGACTTAAATTTATTCCTTTAATAGCATATCCTTATATTGGAGCTTTTATGGGATCAATCTCAACCTGTATGGTCAGAGTGATCACTGGATTTGTCCAGAAGGGGCACCACAAAGGATTTGATGTCATCTATGTTCTTCCGTGTTTCATGATTATCTTCTGAGCTCTCATGTCCTACATTATCGTCAACAAGGGACTAAAAGCATTTGATTCTGTATATGTAGCACCATTATTCAAAATTGGAGCAATGATAGCCTCTTTGACTACTGGAGGAGTGATCCTTGATGAGTTCTCTGCTTACAAGAATGAACCGACTAGGTTCAAATTTTTCATAGGAGGGTGAGTAATATGTCTCATAGGTATAATTCTCTTAGTTATGGGAAATGATTTCAGTGAGAATACCGAAAAAGATGAGAAAAAAGGCAATAAAGATTAATGCAACACATGAATTTTTATTAAACCAAAAAATGGTTAAATAATTTGAAATCGTATTAAGCTTCAACATAACAGTTGCTACTTGGGGTTTTGGGGTTTTGGGGTTTTGGGGTTTTGGGGTTTTGGGGTTTTGGGG